CCAGTTAGCCTAACTGCAAGTATTTTGACTTTGGGAGGAAACTATTTTTACTATTATTATTTTTACTATTATTGTTATTGCTATTATACATAAAATCAAACTGTTCTTTTTGACCTGTTGTAGTTTTTGTAGTCAAAGCTTTTATTGGGACTAATTTACTGTTAATGTCCTGGGTTCAGACGTGGTTAGAATTTACTGATGTGGTCTGATGTAGCCAGAGTAAGCACATACTGCCTGGCCTTTGTGAAAACAGCCCACACTGTTTGTAGCTTGATTGATGTTGAGGTCTTAGCTGTGTGACAGTGCTCCAATCGTCATCAGAACAACCGTCAGCAAAGCAGCAGCCAGCTGCACTGCAGTCAGAGGGGAGGGAAGCTCTCTGGGGGCCAAGACTACCAGGTTTGTATTGGAATTTGGGGGGGAAGGATTCCCATTAAATTCTGTGTTGGGTCACATGAAATACTGGCTTAAGATTATCCAGCCAGTTTGTGAAAGAACAGCGGGCGGCAGCTCCTGCTCACTGACTCACATTTAGCAAATACTCAGGATGATGAGTGAACGTTCCTTCAATTATGGATTTTCGAAGATCAATAGCAGAATATACCCTTCAGATGCTGCAGCGATAAATAGCTAAACCATGAATCGATTATCTGGCATTGTCAACTGTTTTTTCAGTTTTGATGGGGCTGGATACCAAATTTTTTGCCTGAAAGTTTCGTATTATTGTCTCAGACAGCATTAGCTCAATGTCAATGTTAGTATTAAATTATATATAGTACTATAATTCTAATTGAAAATGAAAATACTGAGAATGGTATGCCAAATGGTGTACCGAATGGTCTGCAAAATGGTGTCCTGAATGGTGTACCGAATCGTCTGCAAAGTGGTGTACTGAATGATGTGCCAAATGGTGTACCGAATGGTCTGCAAAATGGTGTGCCAAATGGTGTACCGAATGGTCTGCACAATGGTGTGCCGAATGGTCTGCAGAATGGTGTGCCAAATGGTGTACCGAATGGTCTGCAAAATGGTGTACCGAATGGGCTGCTGAATGGTGTACCTAATGGTCTGCAAAATGGTGTCCTGAATGGTGTACCGAATCGTCTGCAAAATGGTGTGCCGAATAGTGTACCGAATGGTCTGCAAAATGGTGTGCCAAATGGTGTACAGAATGGTGTGCCAAATGGTGTACCGAATGGTCTGCAAAATGGTGTACCGAATGGTCTGCAAAATGGTGTACCGAATGGTCTACAAAATGGTGTGCTGAATGGTCTGCAGAATGGTGTACTGAATGGTGTGCCAAATGGTGTACCGAATGGTCTGCAAAATGGTGTGCCGAATGGTGTACCGAATGGTCTGCAAAATGGTGTACCGAATGGTCTGCAGAGTGGTGTACTGAATGGTGTACCGAATGGTCTGCAAAATGGTGTGCCGAATGGTCTCCCGAATGGTGTGCTGAATGGTCTACCGAATGGTGTGCCGAATGGTGTACCGAATGGTCTGCTGAATGGTGTACCAAATGGTCTGCAGAATGGTGTACTGAATGGTCTGCAAAACGGTGTGCTGAATGGTCTGCAGAATGGTGTACTGAATGTTATGCTGAATAGTGTATCCTACTTCAGAATCCTACTTCAACTAATATGAAAGTTTTTATAATTTTTTTTCAATTTTATCACAAGCTTTTCGTAACCCTGACCCCATAAAACAACGTCACACCTGCTGGGTTTGCAATTAACAAATTGTGCCAAACAATTTCAGGCAGCTGGTTTAAGCATCAGAGAGTCATTCAGAGAAGCAGAGCACAGTATCAGTCACTTACTAAATGGGCTTGATACAGGGTAAGTGCTCAGGAGATGAACACATGGACAGAGGAAAGCAATGTAGAAGAATTTATGGAGTGATGGCGTGGTGTCTGCTGCAGGTGTCCCCTGTCATTGGCCCTGTGCTGATTGGTGTAGACTCCAGCATCACTGCCAATAAGCAGTTATGGAAGATGGGCATTTTATAGAGGTATTTTTTCACTTGTTGGGAACCCTTCCAGTCGCCTTTCTCCAGCTTAATGTACCTCTGATCTTATACAATAAGAACAGTATAGTTCCTCTAATGATTGGCCCCTCACTGTGACACGCTTGTTAGTCGATAGTACCTTCAACATGCTGGGTACATTACACCCTAATGTACTATTGGGCTTTTATAGGAATATAGACGGCTATGTACCAGTTATGAGTTCCTTTAATACAATGCAGGGTGACACATCACCTTAACACTTCCGGGACTCCGAAAAAGTGACCATAACGAGCCAGACCGCAAAAGACCTGCTGTCCATGCTCCAGTGGGAAGATCACTGGCTCAGTCAGGAAGCTGTGGCTATCACCAATAACACAGCGGCTGCTGGCTGCACTGCACTCGACAGCATGTGCCAGAATATGAAGTGAATGTGAGCTAAAACACAGACGGGGGGTGGAATTGCAGGCAGGAAAAGCTCTACCAAGGCAGTTAATATACACAGATGACACTTTTGACCAAAGGCGGTGCTCTAATTCTGTACAAATGTAGCAGAAAACGCAGGATAAAAGAGGCCTGGTTCACAGCTGTTTGCTGGGACCGTGAGCTGGCAGCATCTGGGGCCTGTAATGAACAGGGTGCTGATATCCGTCACTGCTAGTGCACTGCAAACTGCCCAGTATAACCTGACACGGAAAACTCTCCTGCGCTTCCCTTCTGCAGAAGCTGATCTGACACTACAACTGACTACAGCTTCTGCACATTATTATACTTCATCTAAGTTGAAGTGGTTTCTTACAGGAAGAGCTTATCTCACGGAGAGGCTTTGCTTGTTAAAGACCCTGATGTACAAGTGAATTTAGGCCAATTGGCTTGCAGTTCTGTCACACTGTGGATCGCAAACAGGGGACATAAAATGGCTTAAAATCTAATTATCAGCTCAGCAGAATTCCATGACACCTCTCTGTGGTCACCAGCTGAATTACTGTTGCCTCCCCCAGCATCATGGGGACTGAGCACTTACCCCCGGTCCCATTTGGGACAGGAGTACCTCAGATCTCAGCCCCCACCCTTATGAAAACATCACCTAGGCTAGTTTTGTCTACATATTGAAGGTGCTCCAATTTCAAAAAAGTAAAATCAGTTACTTCAGTTTCAGTATCAAGCTCATTAATAAAAGTGACTTAAATCCATTGATGTCTTGACCTGTTCATTGTTCGTGCGTTGAAGCCATTTCATTAGCAAAAGCTTGTATTGATTGTTTTCAAAATGACTTGCTCATTTCTTTGTAGATGTGTATCTGTTGTTTTTCTCACCTCACCAGTCCCTTCCCGCCACAGAACTCTCTAGAAGTGATATCTGAATTAGAGGAGGTTTGTGTCACTCTGCTCTTATACACTGTTGATTTGTGTTGTTCAGACAGACACACAGCCTCCTGTTTTCACCCTAAAGGAGACAGACCCAGTGTGTCACAGGGGATCGGAGGAATCCATTGTGCTTTGTCCGTCCTCAGAGAGCGGCCGGCGATGACAGGAGGGTGTGCCAGGCTCCAGCGGGACGCGGCCCAAAACGGGACGGGGCCCAAAACGGGCCGGGGCCAGGTGCCATCTGTTCCGGGAAGGCGTGTGTGTGTGTGACTCGACAGTGTGTGTCTGCGTGTGTATGGGCGTGTTAATCATGCTGCCCATCGCCCAAACGCTGTGGCACTGCATCCTCATACCGATACCTTCGACACCAGAGTGGGTCAGCAAAGTACACAAAGGTCTCCGCTGCTGTTCTTACTCCAGAGCCCCCCAAACCTAATCAATGATTAATGTCCAGGCCACCACAAGCTAAGATCGCTATTCTGGTAACACCACAAATCTGTACGTGATTCCTTTTCAATTCATATATGGTGCATCCTACAGAGGATTTTAATAGGTTTGCATGTTTCCTGCTTAAGTTTTTTGCCAAGTGCTATAATTTGAAGCAACCTTGATATTTTATTTTTGCATGTCTCCCATAATTCCATATCTCTTCTGCCACACAGCTGGAAATGAATTTCCTTGCTTAGGGGCACAACAGCAACATATTTTTATATTTTTTTATTTCCATCTGCGGCTTTCGTCTCCGGGTTCAGGTCTGCCACCTGCACACCAACTGCCCTCCTTTGAGGTGTGTTAATTTTAACCAGCAGGTAACTGGGAAGTCCCTGCTGGTAAATCAGCAGTTGGTGTAAAAGCACGCAGCTATTTAATGAGGGACTTTTGCAGTAAACACTCAGTCCCAGTGCCTCAAAATGAAAGTAAAACCCAAGCTGGAACTGCATTGTACAACAGGAAAGCCCTGCTTTCGTTTATCTGAATAGGCCTCTTTGTGCAGCATGTGCCTAAACAGACTCACTCATCTCTGCAAACTGCACGCTGGCTTGCAGCCGCACAGTGACGCTCCGTGATTCTCTGGCGTCCGCGTCTGCGAGCTGCTCCCTAGAGCTGTCACCGTGCGGTTTCCTGTGAACACCCCACCCTCTCCACGGCCCTGGAGGTATTTCTCTGCTCCCCTGGGTTCTGCTCTGCCTCCTGGCCCTGAGCTCAGAGCCTCCCCTCCTACCTCCTCCTCCCTCTCCTCTCCCTCCAGTCTCTCCACCTCTCCTGCATCTCCATCTCTGCTCTGCTCTCGGCTCCTCTTCAAGTCACAGTCAGGGACGTGCGAAGCGGCCAATGGGCTGGCGTGCTGCCGCCTGATTGGCTGCTGCCCCGCTGTCACACCAGAGCTCCTCCCCAGCCCGAGTGCCGCTGCTGCCAGCCACAGTCTGCCTGTTTTGTTGTGACACGGCGTCCGAGCCTCAAATGCTCCGTGGCGACGGGGAGAAATGGGAGCAACCATCTGAGGGAGACAGCATCGGCGCTCCTGCCCACGCCCTGCACTTCGCTAGAACAGGATCCACCATGGAGCCCGCGTAAGACGCTTCTTCCTTTGCGGGGGGGGGGGGGGCTGGGCGGGCAGGGGGGGGGGGTTAGCCAGCCATGTGAGACGTTGGCAGCCAGGTGAGCGTGTGACTGCCAGCTGTCCCAGACTGACGGCTGCTCCTCCGCGGCCCCTTCACATGGCACATATTTCCTCAGTCACATGATCCTGATCACCAGTCAAATGATTGGATTGCATTTCCTTTATGCCTGGTTTTGTCAGTCATGGTAAAATGATAGTATTCTAAGCTGTTGGGCGTTTTACACAGATATCAGAGCCTGGACATCTGTTGCCTGCCGTTTTCATATTTAAGTGTATGTGTTTCAAATTGTTAATTAACAATGTGAATGTTGCATTAATAATAGAGCAACCCTGACCATTTTAAGCAGGTAGAAGATGGATGGATGGATGGATGGACGGACGGAAGGGTGGATTGATGGATATCATGAATGACTGCTAAGATCTTTGTACTGCCTGGTGAAAACTATTTTGTCACTTACATTTACAGTCATTTTTATTTAGCAAATGCTTTTGTCAAAAGCGACGTCAAGGAGTCGACTAGGCGTAAGCGCAGCTAGGCTGAGCATCCAGTGACTGTCCAGGTACGAGTGTAAGCAGGATCAGAGCAGGAGCCACACAGCATCTACCAGCAAAGCAAGAACCTAATCAGACAACTGGCCAATCAGGAGAAAGTGCAACATCAGGGATCAGGGAACACAGAGCAGATTTTGTCAATAGCAATTTTGAAAATGCCTTTTGTCCTTTTTGATTTGCCTTTCCCTGCTGAAGCAGTGGAAACGAACCAGCAGTGAGGTGATTTAGGGGAGCAGTTTGGGGTCACGCCCCTGTGCTATAGGGGCTCTGTGGTCTCGTCCCCCCATGTAAACCAAACGGAGGCTGGGGGGTGTCACCCCAAGACCCACCAGCTTTCCTGCTCCTGGCTCTTCGGAGAGTAAATGCAGAAAGCAGGACCCATCATCTTGGGTTGCAGCATAAATCGAAATCCCAACGTAACGTGATACTGGAGGGTAGCAGGGACTTGATGCGTTAGACATGTGAAGTTCACCGTTGGATCGTCAGCATTAACACTGCAAACTTTAATGTGCATTAATAGAGATAATCGTGTGATGTTGCTCAAATTTATTTCAATTACAGCATTTGCAGTTGTGAAACAAGTTACGACAAGTTTAACTGGATAATTGTCTGCCTGGGTGGGGGGTTACCCGTGATCAAATTCCTTGTTTATGAAACTCAGGGAAAACGCTAATGCTGGCTAGTCATACAAGTCATACAAGTCAAACAAGTCACATTGATTGAACTCTGGTTTCTTGGATATACACGGCAATTTTTATAGCTTTTCTTAATTTTCTTTTTAAAAATCAATAGAGGAATAAGGCCTGTAAGGTGATAGATGTGTCTGTAGGTATTCGTGAGCTTTTGCCGGCTTAAATCTTAAATCACAGCTGGCATGCTCTCGCTCACGTGAGTGTGCTCTCAGGAAGCAGGGCTTTGTGATGCGTGTGCAGGAAGGAACCTCGTAACAGGCTCTATGTGCATGTTTCAGTTTGTATTCATTTGGTTAACAAAGCAAGGCATCGTTCTGGGTGATTTATAACAGCTTGGGGTCGGCTGCCTAAGGTAACAGCACTATATATAACTATGGAGTGAACTGAGACATGGAGACAGTATTAGTGAATTTCAGCACACAGGCAGAGAATATATATCAAGAATCAAGAATTTTTATTGTCATTGTATAGAGCAATGAGACAGAGCAGCGGAATGCAATATCAATAAATATACAGGGTGAAATAGACAGGCAAATATTGATATACATTTCTGTATATCTGCACAGTATGTACATACTGTACGTAGTCTGTGTTTTTATATCTCATCTCTTTTTATATCTCACAGAGACAAGCCAGGGGCCCAGAGTCTTAATCCCCAAGCTTATTATATATCTGAGCATATTGATCAGCAGTCACTGGATAACTACCACAACACATTGAATTAATCATGGACAGCAGAAGTTACCTAGACAGATTTGTTATTTGGTTGCTAGTTATCTAGTAACTTTTTTTTTTTGTGAAATTTGGGTGCATGTTGTTTTTTGCTTTTCCAGGCTTGCCGCAATCCCTCAATCTATTCATTTATGTTAATATGCAGACTGTGACTGTCCATGCTGATCTGCAGATGCTTAGTTGCCGCTGAGGTCATGTGCTGTACAGTTGATCAGGGGTCTGTGTTTGTGTCCGGAGAGTTATGGGTTTGAGTCTCGTAGTCAGCAGAGTAATATGCCCAGTGGGTCCTTTGGTTATGTCCTAAACCACCACCCAGGGGTACTGAAACTCTGTGACCCAGAACTTTCATTACTTTGGACAAAAACATAAATAAATGTAGTGGGTGGTTTTAGTAGTACTGTCTTTGAGCTGATATGATTGTATTTTGCACAGTCGCCATTGGTAGAGATGGATCACGTGACCACCAGCTCAGAAGCTGTGCACGACATGGCCCTAGTGCCCCCCTACTATTGGCTTGCCAGGCCGCCATTCATTTACACAGTCTGCTTTGGTTTCAAGCAAAAAAAATGGAGGTGAAGCCTAGCCAGTGAGCTATTCCTTATGCGAGAGCCGCTTGTCAGGTTCTGCTCGGGTCGATGGTGGGTGTAAGAGTGGGAGCACTGGGACGCGTGCGGTTACCCGTCAGCAAAAATAGCATGTCTTAAGCAGGACGCCAACTGGGGCCTCGTAGCACCAGCAAAGGAATCCGATAGTAAGAGGGAGAAAGATCGTGGTGATCCCATTAACTTTATTCAAATGTCTTTGCTTATTGTTAATGTGATTAAAAAGGCTTTGGCCATTGCCTGCTTTGGCATTTACCTCAAAGCCCCTAGCTAATCACTCACGGCTGGCTTTTGTTTTATTTATTATTATTCATACGTATTTAAGGGGCAGCTGAAAATGTCGCTACGATTTCGTTTGGTGTTTATATTCTTTGATGTTTTACTCCTGTTCTTTTGTTAGTGTCTTGATCTATGTGATTTTCAACAAAATCTCTGCAGTTACACTAGTTACCGGTGCACAGTTCCGATTATGTTCATTCATTAATGTCTTGTTGTTCCACCCAACTAGTTAATTATTCCTATACTAAATATGATGTTCATCAAACCCAATGTCATTTCTTTGGGAAATATAGTGAATGTAGGAATGCTGCCTTGGAAACAAACTAAACACCACATCGCTACAGACTCAGTGCCGCCTCCACATCATGCTACTGGCCAAGTGCTGCCTCAGGCTAATGCTAATGCTACAGAATCAGTGTAAAACCAGGGTCATGCTACATGCTAAGTGCTAAATGAGGTACATGCTAAAGACTAAGTGCTCCCTCAGATTAATACCAAACCCTCTGTGCAGCATCAAGCCCATGCAACAGGCTAAATGCTAAGTCAGGTACATGCTAAAGACTAAGTGGTGTAAGGTGTGGAATCCCAGGGTGGGCCGAGGTCAGGTGACAGGCATCCAGTCATACTGGGCATCCAAACCCTGTTTCCCTGTCTATAGATCCCATGTTGGTCTGTAGCTGAAGCAAAGGCTGGTCTAATGTTTTTGTTTCTCTCATGCAAACCTGAATAAAGTGCCCATAATGTTCTCTTATCCTGATGTTACACGAATCTGTTCCGTATCCCATCCAGAGCGAGTCTCAGAGTAAATTACCAGAGTCTTTGGGAACATGAGTTAAGCAGCGTTTCAGGAATAAAACATAGGAAATTTGAGGTGCCAGCATTATTGGTGGAGCTCTCATCTGCAGGGTGGGCTGTGGTGGAAAGGAGGGTGGAAGGTGGCCTTCAGGGTGAAGGACAAGGTGACACATCCCCCAAATGCTACAAGGTACCAAATCTAACAGCTGCGGCTATGCTGAGTGTGGGACGGCAAGTTCACGCTTTTATTGTGACGACTGCAGCCAGCCTAAGGGCCGCTCCGCTTGTGAAAAGTGCTGCGTGGTGGAATGTCACCGACCGTCACACCCGGACACCCCAGGTACTGATCCGAGAGCCGCTGAGGGTCGCTTCTCCGATGTTTTTTATGTGTTTGCTCTTTAAAGCGACAGCGTTCAGCTGGACTGCAGATCTTTGTAACAAGACAAATAATGCTCCCCAGTAAAGGAGATCCATGCCTGGGTCGTGCTCTGGAAGGTACTTTGGAATCCAGAGTAAACAAGTGGCCTTGTGGTGAGACTTAAACACAGTGTGGTGAGGACATTCAGACTCTGCGGTGTTTTCACTGGCAGTGCCTCGCAGTTTTAGCTTTTGTTTCGGCCTTTGTGAATGCAGTTCTTATATATATTGAAAGCTGTTTTGTAGAATATAAGGCTTCTATTCAAGCAGACTTTCCCTTCTGTTGGCGCCTCGCACAGTCGCACAGTCGCACAGCCGCACAGTCGCACAGCCGCACAGTGCGCCGTTTGATCCGTTTTACTGACGTGATTCTCCTTTCTTTTTCGTAGCCAGGTTCATACCTGCAAGCTGCAAATCAAATCTGAAGAAAAATTCCATTTATAGCTAGAAGCCCAGACTTACGCTGCAGTGCTTTTGATGTATCGCCAGGAATGATGTGACCTGTACAGAGAATGCAAAGCACTGGGGTAAATAGAACATCTATTACTGCTGTTGGTGTGATGGGTAAGAAGAAACTAACACCTGATAAAATCTGTGCCAGTGTTGTTTCATAAAAGAGATGTTTCTCAGCGCATGTCTGCATGTTGGGCCCAGCAACCTTCATAGATTGGGCAGGGGAAATATACCAGCCTTATCTGTTGGTGATTGTTAGTGACACCCCTGCAGGGCGCAGTGATCACAATCAGCCACAGAGTCTGGGCTACATAACATCCGTCCATCCATCCATCCATCCATCCATCCATCCATCCATTTTCTGAAACCGGGGTATATAACATATATAATATAAAAGAAATATACACCAATAAAGCCATTAACCATTT